GCGGAGTCTGTGGACTTCGGCGAGTGAGGACCGTGCTGCCTGGGAGGAGGTAGCGGAGGGCTGGGGGAGCGGGCGGTGTGCGGGCCCTGGGAGAGGAGGCGGCCCTTGGGAAGGGCGTCTGGCTGCACTCGCCCCCTGGGCAGCAGTTAGCCAGGTCTGCTCGTCTGGGGGTCCTGGCTCTGTGGTAAAAGCCTCATGTGCCGCAGGACCTGCCATCTCAGGAAGGGCCCTGTGGCGCGGTGAGGAGCACCGTCATGGCCAGTTCTGGCAGTGCTCCGGCTCTCTGGCAGGCCGACAGTACCAGGTCATGTCGTGGCCTATGGTAGTCCAGCTCTTGAGTTTATCACAAGAATGAAAGCGTTGATGCCTGGTGTCCTTCTCAGAGTGCCGTGTTGTGCATGCATCCTGCAGGGATTTTGCAGATAAGCAAGCCAAGCAGTATCTAGTGTATTTAATAGCAGCTATGACCTAATTTTTAAAGACAGGGCTAATACTGCACAACTGGCTTTTAAAGTCCCAAACGATTCGTCTGTGAAAGGTGTCATATCCATGAAATGTCTGGATGGTGGTCTTAAAAATGTTTGTCTGTGCATGCTGCTAAAGCCAAGTTCGTGTGTCAGATTCCCTGACTTGTCATGATAGTTGCAACTCCTCTTGAGCATACCTGAGTATGTGATTAAATCTGTTTTCAGCCTGAGAATGCTTTCTAAGGTTTAATGTAACTTCCTGTCCCTTCAGATCTTTTAAGAAGTGTCCTGCTCAGTATTTCTGTGCTGAAAGGCAGGTGTCCGTAACTGCCTCTCCTCTTCCCTGCAGGCACCATGGTGCGCATGAACGTTCTAGCCGATGCTCTCAAAAGCATCAACAATGCAGAGAAACGTGGGAAACGCCAAGTTCTCATTAGGCCGTGCTCCAAAGTAATCGTCCGGTTTTTAACTGTGATGATGAAGCACGGTAAGTGCAGGGTGTGCAGCGCTGGCCCCTCTCCTTTGTGGCTTCCGCGGGTGCCGTTGTGTTAAGGGGCTTTTTGGCTAAAAGCAAATCAAGGTGCTTGAACTAGTTTTGTACAACATGGTTATATTAATGAGTTGAGTTGTATTAATGTAGTTAAGTATTACATGTTTGATTTGTCTGTTTGCTAATCTGTAGGTTACATCGGCGAATTTGAGATAATTGATGACCACAGAGCTGGGAAGATTGTTGTTAATCTCACAGGCAGACTCAATAAGGTAGGGTTTGTCTTTCTGGATTCAGTTCTCTAGGAACATGTTTTAATTTATTAATTTTAAATGCTTGTGTGCTCCAGTTCTGAAAGGGAGGTGTTATTTATGGGATCCATGTAACTGAGAGTAATATGGGTATTCTCAGTGGTTATCAAATGCTTCTTAATTTTTCTGGATTCCTAATGGTTTGGGTGACTAGTTAAATTTCTTTTAAACTCTGAATATGGAAGATATATTTTCAGGGAAGTCTGCTTGCAAGTGTGCTGTGTTTCTCTCTCTTTAAAGGCTTTCTGGCTACCTAGTGAGTTCCCACTTTCTTTGATGTTTAAGGTGTCTAGAAGACTCTCTTAAGAGATAGGAACTGAGCTGCTTTCCGGTTGATGTTTGATACCTGTAAGTGTTGAGGAGTCAAAGTCTTTCTCCTGCCACTAGATGGGCTTTGCTTGTAGTTGAGGGAAAGTTGAATGTTGTGTTAATTTTTGCTTTTTAAGTTCTGGGGCATCAGAAGTATTTGTGTGTGTTTTGGATTTTTTTTTTTTTATTTATTTTTATTTTTTTAATGCTTTTGTCTCAAAATACTGAGCTGTCTAGTTCTGTGATGGCTTGCTGTGCATTGTGGTTTCCAGTTAAGCTATTCAAGTGAAAGGTGTCTCTTCAGTGAAGAAAAAAACAAAGTTAGATATTGGGTAAAAATTCCTTACTATGAGGGTGGTGAGGCCTTGGCACAGGGTGCCCAGAGAAGCTGTGGCTGCCCCATCCCTGGCAGTGTTCAAGGCCAGGTTGGACACAGGGGCTTGGAGCAACCTGCTCTAGTGGAAGGTGTCCCTGCCCGTGACAGGGGGTTGGAACTGTGTGAGCTTTAAGGTCCCTTCCAACCCAAACCACTCTATGGTGCTATGAAAATTACTTGGTCAGGACCTGTTGGGGGCTATCTCCATGATGAAATTGCAAGTGAACATTGCTTGAGTGTCATAGGCAGAGTTCTGACACCACCCAAATTCCTAGTGGTATGAGTCTGTAAAAAAAAGTATGTCAGATTTGAGTATAGTGTTCTCTGAACTCCTGGGATGGTTTTGTAACAGATCTGGAGTGCAGCTGGATAGAATGTTGCTCTCAGCAGTTGCAGTAAGGGAACAGTTGTTTGGTTCAGAAAAATGTCCATGAGTGAAGGAAGGTGTGCTGCTCTTGGGGAGTTAGGAATATTTGGAGCCAGTGAGGTAACTGGAGGCAGTAGTAGCGGTTGATTAGAAGTAGAATATCCCTGAGCAGTCACAGGATTTCTGATGATACAGGATGCTTAATAATCCTCAGCAATTTGTAGTATGCTTTTGTGCTCTCCCAGATCTAGGCATTACTAGTTTAGCTTCAGCAGTGTACGTGTAAGTCACTCTAAGTGAAAAGGAGGAGGTTGTGAGGAGGAGGCAAGACTGCTAAGGAAATAACAGCTGAGTAGTGAGAGAGTCTTGACTTACCTGAGAAGAAGTGCTCATGTGTATTGCGGGTAATGGAATAGGCTTCTTAGTACTCTGATCTTTTGCTGCTAAGAATATTTTAATTGCAGTTGTTAAATTCCTTTATCCAGTGAAGGGGAATGACAAATGTGCAAATCCATTGCATAAAGTTCTTCAGTTTGTAATGGAATTCTGTTTTACAGTGTGGTGTAATCAGTCCCAGATTTGATGTTCAGCTGAAGGATTTGGAAAAGTGGCAGAACAACCTGCTGCCTTCACGTCAGTTTGGGTGAGTACGGAAAAGAGTTAAATCCATGTTGTATGTAAAAATGTGGGGGAGGTTCTTACACTTCAATACTGTGTGAATTAAACTTGCCTGACACCTTTCGTTCTCATCACTCTGGAGGTAGATACCAGTCTAAAAATCAATCTCCCATATAAATGCTCCTTTTAACCAGTTTTAAAGGGCACTGATAAGCAAAGCCCTATTTTTGCTTGGCTTTGGTGAATCCTGGTCTCACCAGTTCTGTAGTTTACTGGGAGAATAAGACTTCTCTTACACATTTCAGTATCTGAAGGGACCTACAAGGATGCTGGAGAGGGACTTTTCAGCAAGAACTGTAGTGATAGAACAAGTGGTAATTGGTTTAAACAGGGGAAATTCAGATATAAGGAAGAAGTTCTTTACAGTGAGGTTGGTGATGTCCTGTAACAGGTTGCCCAGGGAAGTTACGAATGCTCCATCCCTGATGGTGTTCCAAGGCCGGGTTGGACAGAGCCTTGGGCAACATGGTCTAGTGTGAGGTGTCCCTGCCCATGGCAGGGGGATTGGAACTAGATGATCTTAAGGTCCTTTCCAACCCAAACCATTCTATGATTCTATGATTTTAATTTTATTGATGGCCATACAGAGAAGGGGGGAGGAGAACTGTAAGTTACCAGGTCGATGGAAGTTACACTAGTTTAAATTAAACTTCCTGATTGTGTATGAATTGATTAGATACGGGGTGATAAGAGACTTGGAGCCTCTGTTAAACAAACCTCCACAACATAGAAATCTTCCTGTTGTGCCGTGTATTTTTCTTTCCCAAAATTCACTGAGTCAAATCTCAGGGAAGGCAGAATAGTGTTTGTAGTGGTGGAACAAGAGGTTCTCAGACCTGAAGCAGTGTGGGTGAAGCAGGCTGGTAATCCAGATGTTGGTGTTAGCAATGGCAAAGGCTGCTTCATGTGTCAGTCCAGATCCAGGTATTCATCTGTGCTCAGAGAGACTAAGTGTCTGCCACCATGGCAACTCTGCCTGCTCTGAAGAAAAATGTCTTTATAAAATAGAATTAGATTTTGTTTAGAAACTGTAGAGTTGCTGCTACAACAGCTGAACTGACTTTACAGTGGGAACGTGCAAGAAAACGTCTTGCTGAGATACAAATGTTTGGAGAGCAGAAGCTCATCTGTGTGTGTTTTGCGCTGCAGAATTATACTTGTGAGAGGAGTTTCTCTGTCATTGTCTGATAACCTGACCTTCCATTAGGCCCTTTGTTAGACAGACAGATATTGCTGTTGTAATGAAAATTACAGACATGAATATGACATGAATACACAGACAGAAATGAAGTTAGTGTTGTCGGCTCAGTGCGAGCGTATGGCAGAACCAGAAACTGAACATTTGTTCTTTCTTCACAGGTACATTGTTCTGACAACCTCAGCTGGCATCATGGACCATGAGGAGGCTAGGCGAAAACACACAGGAGGCAAAATCCTGGGATTCTTTTTCTAAAACTTGTAAAAAAAGAGGATACTAATAAATTGTTCAAACGGACTCTGGTGTTTCCAGTCAGTATTTTAATGACTTCGAACACTACCTGTGCTAGTGTTTTAACAGGCAGCTCTTCAGTAGTGCTCACGTTCCAACTTCAGAGGATGTTTGGGTTCCACACCGTCCCCAGTCCTAACTTTTATTTCTGTTTATCATAGAACCTGCTTTCAATAGTTATGATTTGAGGGACACTTACAGGTCACTGTACAGAATGGCCTCCTCAGGGGTGCTCTCATGCTAAGCTGTGTACTCAATATTACGCTGTGGGGTCACATCTCGTGTGTTCGGTATTTGTGTCTCCAGTTACATATATGGGACTCTGTAGTTTCACCTTTTGGCTAAGTAATAGAAGATGCCTTGCTAGAAGGTATTTCCTCATTATATTTTGGGAGGTTACGAGATGTAGGACTGTAGAGTAATTAAGATGGTTGAAGTTTGATTTCAGATCACAAACTTGTTCCTCATCTTGCAGCTAAGGAGTACCTGAGAGGTGAATTACTAATTTTTTTCTTCAAATTTCTACTTTGAAAGCTCTTTGAAACAGGCATTTTGAATGGGGTAGTTGCTGTGCAGCTGCTTTGCATCTTGCATGATGTCACTGTTCAGGATTTCTTAAAGTTTCTGGAGTGGGGCAATAAGGATATATGAACTTGGAGATAGTGAATATTAAGTATTGAATGAGTTGTTGCTCTTTGTTTCAGGCAGCTGATGCATGAGGGTGTAATGTACTTGATACAGAAAAATCAACACCTTTCAAAGCAGGTACGAGAGAGGTGACTGGCTGAGGAGCTACTTCCAGATGGTGGAGAATGGGGAGCAAGCTTCTGGGTGATTGCATTGTCCTTTAACAGCAGCTGGAAATCCCTTGCCTTGCTTTCTTTGGAGTCTATTGGGAAGGAGCCTGTTGAAATGTAGGAAGCCTGTTTCACCATGCTGTGAAACAGCTGTTGAATTGGTGGTTCTCATGATACAAACAGTTGGAAACAATTTTCCTTCTTGGCAATATGCCCTGGTGCTTGATACATCTAGTTGCTCAAGTCAGAGGGATTGTGCTGTGAAGGTGACATGGAGAGCCTTGGGGTGGAAGTGACTTGCCTTCAGGCACAAAGTATTCATAACTGTGTAACCTGTTGCAGGGTAGTCTGTTACTTGTTATGGAGAAAAGGAGAGGATGCTGCTGCTGGGCAAACAGGTCTTGACTGTAGGCAAGCAGCACAGTCTCGCCTGCGGTGGCTCTTCCCTGAGGAGCAAGGGGCCAGCAGCAGAGCTATGGAAGTGCTTACTCTGGGTGTTGTGGGGTGAATGCCAGCATCCTGTATCAGACTTGCACCGTGTCTGAGAAGAGCAGGGGAATGATAAAACTCACTACTTCAGCTGTTTTGGCTTGGTCACCTGCATGTTAAGATCACAGAATGTGGATTGCAGGTGGCAGCAGAACACTCAAATGTGATCAGTACAGTTCTCAGTTTGATTTGAAGCAAATTTCCTTAGCTGAAGATAAGGATCTGTACATTGAATTACAAAGAGCAGCTGGAAAGTCAGAAGTCTGCCCTGACCCCTTTTTTCTTGTCAAATGAGCTCTTTTATTACAGGGGATTTTTTTATCATTAATGGAGATAATTCTGCAGTACTAAGAGCTGATACAGACCTGAGCTTTTGTATTTCTTGCTCAGAGTGACCCTGAAGATCATATCAAGATTCCACTGTTCCATCTTGACTCAATCCAGAATAGAACACAAGTTTCTGATACCAGGTGGAAGAAGGTCAGTGGCACTTTAAGGCTTCCTTTTAGATGAACTTACTACAGCTTCAAGTTCCCTGCTGGTCTGACATTCAAGTTTTAAACCAATTTTATACAGGACACACACATCAGTTCTGAACCAGTCACCCGTGTATGTCCTTCCCCACCACAGAGACTTCTGAGGTAACAGGATTTCTGATAACTCTTGAGTTGGGAATAGACTGTTAATTTATTTCACAAGCCAGCCCAAAGACTTTTGTAGGATTATTAAATGGAAATTAGAGCTCTGATGTACAAAGAGTGATTTGGAGCATGCAGCAGCAGATGCACCATTTCCACAGCACAGCTAACAAATGTGACTACTCGCTGGCTCTCCGCAGCTGATGTGAGTTTTTAAGATGATCTCTGAGCTTGTGCCTTACTGATGAGAGCTTTAGTCCTGCTGCTGGCTGAGATCCCAGGAACTCCTGAGGTGGGACTTGGGAGCTGACAGGCAGGATTAGGACATGCTGTGCAACACAACTGCTTTAAATCCGTGTGCAGGAATTCTTCATTCTCAGACATGTTTAAATCTGAAAGTGGTTTGTTGGGTGGTTTTAAGCCTCGGTGCTGTTTTGTGAGCTCCGGGCATATGCCTTGGGAAAGCAGTTTGTAGGTAAAAGTTAACTGTCATTTTGGGTAATAAAAGGATTAACAGGGAGAGGTGAGAGGGAAAGCTGAATGAGCAGTATGGGTTGCAACTGCTAGTGAAGGCTGGGTGTTAGTTTAGAGAAGGTGTTTGGTAGCAGTGGAGCAGAGGGGGAACACTGGTGACAGAGGAGTCCGCCATGGGACAGGGGCAGCTGACCTCCTGTGGAGAAATCTGGGAGGGTGGGTGGCTCCTTGGGAGAGCATCTGTGTTGCAAACAACCCCTGGAATTACCAAACTTTCCATCTGGTGCTATCCCAGATACCTGCAGCCTAACACCGCCTGTCAGTGGTGTGTCACCTCCATGCTCTTCCAGATGTAGAGAGAAGCCTCGGCATTTTGGCTGGAGGTCTGCTTCTGCTTGCTATGCCAAACCTCAACACCTAGGTGTGTGAGCACAGCCACTTGCCCGGCTGTTGTGCTGTGAGGAGGCTTGTTAAGGTATGGATAGTGCATGGTGATGCTGTGCTGCCTGTAGTCCCTCCTTAGCTGCTCACAAGAAGGTGAGCATCAGTAGTCCTAGTCACAGGTGGTGAAATGGGGTCACAACTTAGAGTTAGGACAAGTGTTTATTAAGTTAGAAGTAGTTGGGAGATGGTTGATGACCCATTTGCAGCGTACAGCCTGGTCTCACTTCTCCTGTCAGATACATGATCAGTACTTCAGATACCGATTACTTATGCCACTGTTTAAGAACAGGATGAAACGTTGTTCGCATTATCTATTTATTGTTGCAGTGAGAAGTTGTCAGCAGATGGCAGCATCCGACTTCGAGGGCGATCTGTGAGAGAGGCGTCCCTGCTCCTTCTGCAGAGCTAATCATCGTGACTTCTCCTGTGCTCTGGCCCACAAAGAGATTTTTTTTCCTGTCTTTAATGCAACAGAGCCTGGCTTAAGATAATATGGGAGGTAAGTGTGGATCTTCGAAATACCCCAACAGGGTAAGAAGCCTAGTGCATAACAGTGGCTTCACTGGAAATTCACTTTCTCCTTCTCATCCTTTTGTTTGTTTTCTACAACAGGTAATTCAATCAGATCCGTTCCCCTGGCTGGAGCATGTGTTTCGTTTCCCAAACTCATGTGCCAATTACTTGCACCAGAAATGCAAGCAGTAAGTAAACCTGGGTCTCCAAGTGTCTGAAGTTACCTTCTTGTCTCTTTTTGCCTACCAGACTCTAGATGCAAGCCAGCAATGACAGACAAGGATGTGTGTGGTGGTGTGGCAGAAAGCAGGGGGAGAAAACAGGCAGAAGTGGTAAGTGAGGCTTTAGAACTTGCTCCAGTGGATTTTGCACCAAGTAGTTATTTCACAGCAGTGAAAGAATGAGGAGATGCTCATGGCTGGTGTGGGGTCCTGCCTACAGGATACAGGAACAGGGAGCATGGTGATGCACAGGTCAGGATGTGCAGATAAGGCTGATGGTAGAGGACAGAAGACACCATTTGTTTCTAAAGGATCTGGGACTGCCCAAGTCATTATTTTGGATGTTTTAATTAAAATTGCATACTCTGAAATAACAAGATTTTTCTTTTGTCTTGTCTAATGCTATTTAGTTAACTTAAAGACAAGACTTTTGTTCAGCGTCTTACTGCCAATTAATGCAAATATCAGGCTCCCAGTAAATATGTGGGTGGATTTAATCACAGTTTAGTCCAGAGGACTGTTCTAGTAGAGCCAAGGAGTTTCAGCAGCTGGTGGCCTCTGTTCTTGCTCCCGATGCTTTCTCTGCTCAAGAGCTGCCACTTAACTCATGCAGTTCTGTTTTAAAAGAGAAGTACTGTTTTTCTGGTCACCATCTCCTTGCTCTGGTACATTCTATTTTGACTACCAGCTCATGACCTGAATTAATTTGGTCTTGTTTACAACTATTTATACAAAAAAAGAAGTGCTGACATAGCAAGTGATGAGAATTAACTGGGCAGACTTTATTACTCGATACATGAGGTGCATCTTCTGCTGGGGGAGAAAAATATCCATTGACCTTCTCCTGTTCTTCTCAGGCAAAGCAAATGAGGATGTCTGAAGGCATAAAACTTTCTGCTTAGTTTACAGTTAATCCAGTTTCATTTATTGTATGAGATATGTAAGGATAATCTCATAAAAGCACTAGAAACAGAGAACATGTACAAAGAAATGTGGTTCTGGTGAAGGTAATGAGAGTTTCAAGCTTTGCTAGGACCACTCTTACTGTAATCAGGTTGTCCTGGTACCCACTGTTACCTAGCTGTACCCATGGTTTTGAAAGCTGTCCTGGTATTCTTGATCTGACTTTGCTGAGTTTAGCAACCTTCCTGCTCAGTGTGTGGCTGCTAACATGAACCTGTATATATTTATATAGGGAGCACAAGTTAAAATCCATACCATTGGCCTGCTGGGAAGCACAGGACACCGCATCTCATCAGTCTTGTGACTGGCTTGAAAACAGAGAATGCTATTGGTGCAATTGTGCTGGTGGGATGGACATGTGCCTTTGATTTGGGATTAAAAGGGCAGCATTCAAGTTCCAGGTCTATCATAGTTCCATTTTATTGAAAGTTTTATCTGCTAGTGCTGCAGTTAATCATTGTATATGC